TTGTTACACTCTGCCTCCTCCAGGAGGGGTTTTCTATTGCAGGACCTTTTCCTTGTTGTGGGCGCGTTTGATGTTGGTAAAATGGCTGCCTGTTTGTCCTTTTATCATTTGGCAGATCTTCCCTTTTGAATCCTTCTTTTAGGGTAATTAATTGATCTACCATAACCGCTGCCTCTACTACAGTGGATGGCTTTCGATCCTGTACCAGCCACCGAAAATCGGAAGGTATCAATTGGAAAAATTGTTCCAATTTTAAAAGTTCTCTCAGTTGTTGGTAATTTTCCACCTCAGACGTCCTTAGCCAACTATCGAACAGTTGAGACAATCTAGAGGCCACCTGAGCGAAACTTTGGTTCTTATCTCTTTTCAGAGTCCTGAACTTGAATCTGTAAAATTCAGGTGTTAATTGAAATTTCTGTTGAACCTGTCTCTTAAATAAATCATAATCCCCATAGGACTCCTCAGGCATTTCTCCATATATTTCTAAGAGCTTTCCACTTATTTGAGGCCTTAAGTACGTCATCCATTTTTCCTCAGCAACTCCAAAATCTTTACAACATCGCTCAAACAAGGTTAGAAACTTCTCTATATCGTCATCCTTAGTAAATTTAGGAAATACTAGGTTCTTGTAGGTTTTTTCGAGCTATAGGGCCATGTTCTAGAGGCATTTCTCCTGACGTTTCGCCTGCATCTATGGCAAGCATCCTCAGAGGAAGTGAGGGGGGGTGGTGGGCTAATTTTTTGCTTTTGCAGTTCAATTTCCATTCTCCTCAATTCTATCTCCTGTTCTCTCTCTTTTTGTCTTTCCTCAAACTCTCTTTCCCTTTGTTTTGCCTCTATTTCCAATCGTTTCATCTCTAGTCTGTGCCATTTCTGACACAGACACTGGCTCTGTTTCTGCTTCAGAGCCCAAACTTCCTTCTTGGTCTCCCATTGTTTCCTCAACAAGTTTTTTCTGTCATCTGGTAGCCATATTTCAATAACTTTTACCTCACAAATTATTCTCAAAGTAGTCTTAAGGCACTCAATCAGTTGTTAATCGTATCCCGTCGTCTGCCACCAATTTGAAAAGAAGCAGGGGAGCTGGGGGATGATTTATTGTTGCCACCAATTTGAAAGGAACCAGTATTCAGGAGATTTTTCCCCAGTTCCCAATTTTAAAAAGACTTAGCCGACTTGCAATGGAGGTTGCCGATTAGGAACCAAATTTACCATCAAGTTAGAAGGGAGGCTGTTCAATTGCACCTCCTCCTTTATTAAGAAAGTAATAACTTAGTAATAATTACACTGTATATACTGTAGCGTGACTGGAGAGAAGAATGTAGATTTATTTGGTTACTTTTCCCTACGTTTCTGCCACCACGTGAGGTAAGTTGTAATATTGTGAGAAATTGCACTTTGGACTCAGAATAGACGGAGCTGAGGCAATCTTTAAATAAAAGTTAACAATTTTATTAAGTACACAGCGTGTGGTTGCAAGATGTAACTTTTCCTTGTTGCACTTGCCTTCAGCCTTCCTAAACTGAAGAAACCTCTGACTATTCACAAACACTGCTTCTCTACTTCCCACTCTCTCTCTCAACACTTCACGACTGTTCACTCCTCTCTGCCTAAACCTGACTCTTCATTCCTCTGAGCCTAAACCCTGACTCTTCATGACTGTGCACTCCTCTGAGCCTAAAACCTCCAACTCACTTTAACTGTCGCTTTTCAAAACTCTCCTCTCTAAGCTCCTCCCACTTCTCTACAGCATCGTTTCCATGGTAACACACTCCTCACAGCTAGGCCGCTCCAGCATTAGGGCAACCAATGCAAACACAAATACAGTTATAATCATATCATTTACAATCAATACAGTTATAATCATATCATTTACAATCAATACAGTTATAATCATATCATTTACAATCAACTTCTGTACAGGTATCCAGACCAGAGCAGATCAAAGCGACTTTGTCTGCAAAGAACTGAGCAAAGGCTTCACAGCGAACTGCCGAGTCATCAGGGCACCCATCCTGCATTTTAAAAGGCCTCTGACAACTCGGAACAGTTCAGCCGGACGGTTCTTTGCAGACGCAATAGTAGCCGCAAAGAAAGTCTTCTTTGCGGCTTTTATTGCCGCGGCATATGCCCTTAAAAAGGACACAAACCGTGTTCGATTTGGCTCGCTCGGATTCAAACGCCACACGCTCTCTAGTTCCCTCTTCTTTCGCTTCAACGCTGCCAGCTCCTCAGTGAACCAAGGAGCTGGTTTAGCTCGGCTACTTGAGAGGGGACGTTCTGGAGCGATCGTGTCTATTGCCCTAGTCATCTCCCCATTCCAGAGAGCGACCAGGGCATCAACAGGATCACCAACCGAGGTGGCGGGAAATTCCCCAAGAGCCATCAGGAATCCATCCGGATCCATAAGCCTCCTGGGGCGGACCAACTTAATGGGTCCTCCACCGCTGCGGAGGTTAGGAGGTAGCCAGTCTAAACCTGATCAGGTGGTGGTCGGTCCATGGCAAAGGAGCGATGGACAGCTCCTCCACACCGCCACTATCTTCCCAACCCTGACAGAAAACCAAGTCAAGTGTGTGTCCAGCACAGTGGGTGGGGCCAGATACTTGTTGGGACAGCCCCATGGTTGCCATGGCAGACATGAAGTCCTGAGCCGCTCCCGATAAGGCGGTCTCGGCGTGGACATTGAAGTCCCCCAGCACAAGCAGCCGCTGGGACTCCAATGCCAGGTCCGAGACCACCCCCGCTAGCTCAGTCAGGGAGACTGTAGTGCAGCGAGGTGGACGGTACACTAACAGAATCCCTAATCTGTCCCGGTCACCCACCCTCAGGTGGACGCATTCAAAATTTGTTGACTGCGGGATGGGGGCCCTGGTCAGAAGAATGGAATCTCTATAGACCACTGCAACCCCGCCTCCCCGCCCTCCGGATCTTGGTTGGTGCTGCACAGAGAAACCTGGCGGGCAAAGCTGGGTCAAATTCACACCTCCAGCTTCGTCCAGCCAGGTCTCTGTGATGCACGCCAGATCTGCCCGTTCATCCAGGATTAAGTCCTGGATGAAGGCTGTTTTGCCATTGACAGATCTGGCGTTCAACAGCACCACCTTCAATCCGGGGGGACCGCCATCCTGGTTACACCAATTTACCGTATCAGGAGACCAATTTGGAATTACTAAAGTTGTTGTACTTCCAGGTTCTAATAACAAGATGGTAGTCACCCTTAATATTGCATTAAACAGCTTATATTTAAATTGGCGGTATTTCCAGTGGACAATTTTGTTCAACAAAATGTGTTTACAAGACAGCATAACTTGTCATTGTTAAGAGAGTTTGTGTATGGACAGTTTCGGGATTGTAGGTAAATATAGCTATAAGACTCACTGTGCAAAACATTTTCAACTCCATGGTTTTTTAAATTTTGAAAAGAAATTTTTCATTTGTGCTACCCTTTGTTGTGGTATTTAAGAATTAGAGATATGTAAATTTTTCATTGATTATACTTTAGATGAGCATTGTAGGTTTGTAGTAAACTCAACGAAAATTGGGAGATGTTTGACATGAATGGCACTTTTTAAAGAAAGTTAACATTTTTCTTCTAGCTTCTATTCTATTATTGTACCTTTGTGATAGATTCTACCATCTTAAGGAGCAAGAGTTGTATAGGCTTTTCAAATTCATATTTCAAAGCAAGTACTTCAAACATATTGAAGTAGAACAGGCTTTCGGAGAAAATATGGTATAGAGTAATAGTTAAATGCACTGTGGCCAGACACCTGAATCTGTATGTCTTACTGTTTGTGTGCAAAGTTTACTGTGACTTTGTTTTGTTTTGTTTAAAAATTAACAAAGAGCAAAACTGATACTTTAACAATAGTTGACACTGGCATTAGGTAAATTGAAAACTTCTGAGTAAAGAACAATTATCCATAGCTGACTATTCATTTATTGTTATGCTGTTGTGCAAAATAATATAGTGCTCAGTGAACAGCTTTGTCCTTTATAGCAAAATAGTGATTTTCAAAAATGTGATACAAAATAGCCATTTTCCAGGGTCCCGAGAACTATTACAGTAGTTCTCCTTCCTTATCACTGGCAGAAGGTTACATTAATTCTTTTGAATTAATTCCTTGTGAATTCCTTGTGAATATATTTAACGCGTATAGTTTTAGCTGTGTATTTCCCTTATAGGTAAACTAACCACATAGAATCATTCTGGGATAGAAATGCAGAGCAGGGATGGGCAACTGCTGAGATTGAAAACACCCCAATTTGGAAACACAAAAATCATATTTGTGATCAGCAGAATAGCCATTAGCAGCCCTCCAAAGCCATTGGGGCTGTGGAATTGCTTCTAATAATTTATCTGTGTTTCATGACTGTTTTGATGTCCTGCTATCTCTTCCAAACCTTCTTGTCCTCTAGGATCCAATTTCAAGGAGTAGTAACTATTGATTAGAGCTTCTCTCATGGGATATTCTAGCAAGTTTCAGATTACTAATGGCTAGAGTAGCTCTAGGCATATAGGGGACAACTTAATTATATGATTATATATATAAGTAGTAAGAGTGTGGATTAACCAAAGGCAAAACAGCAATTTGACCAGTAGTATCCCTGGAAAGTCCTGCTGGCCACTAGGGATAAAATGAAATGTTTGGCTCCTCAATGTTTGAGAGGACTGGGGTCCCTTGGGTGGGCCATATGTAAACTATAAACTGCATATTCACATTTAATATATGATGTGTATTTATCTTGCATTTTAATGTGTAACAGTTGCTTCTGTATTATATCACACATCTTTGAAACTGTGAAAAAGAGTATATACAATAACAAAGGATTCTTGCCTAATTTGGTTGTGAGCTACAGGTGAACTACTGGAAAACTTAATATATTAATGGCAGTTTAAACATCGTGAACATAGAATGGCGTAGTATGCTTATAAGAAGCAGAAACAACGTGAACATTATTTAGCTTTGAATAAACTTTTCATTTGGTTATTTTAGATCATTTATCCATCATGAACACAACCAAGCATCAGAGCTGTATAATGCACGTGGATATGGATTGCTTCTTTGTATCAGTGGGCATTCGAGATCGACTAGATCTGAAAGGTTAGTATTCAGGCATGGCAAGAGAAAACACCTATTGGTTAAACATAATCCAGTTGTCCTCAATGCTTTTAATCTGAAAACTGTTATATGGGCAGTATTGTATACTGTAAATATTGCCAGATTAATGCCATTTAGACCGTTGTGCTTAAAGTAATAGAAAAGTTTACCTTTTCTTTCATCAAATACCAAAATGTATTTTGTCTCTCTTTCATTGCCCATATTTATTTTTCAGTCATCAGATGTTGGTCATATCTATACCTAAAGCCAGAATAACATTCCATTATAGATCTAGTGATTTTAAAATGTTGGCCATCCATACAGTTTGAATGTAACTCTAATAATTTGTGACCCCCAAGGCTGGACCTGTTTGGGTTGCTGGAAGTTGAAGACTAAAGCATCCGGAGTACAAAAGATTGAGAACATTGGTCTGTAAGATCCAGGGTCCATGAATGAATGCAACTACCCCTTCCACCTTGCCCAAAAGGGGGATATCTACCTGAATGATAGTTACTTGTCTAGGGCAGTGTCTTTGAGAAGTTGTTAGACAAGCCTCTTCTTTAAGAACAGTGCACAAATAATTTGAATCCATTTTACTGTCTCATTGAATTAAATCTGCCATCTTTAGTCTTAATAGTCAGAATGCCCAAAAACACCAAAAGTGTAGGTGAGCAGCTTAACTTCTAAAAGTATGCTTTGATTCAAAGATTAAATATTAATCTTGTAGCCAAATATTATAGTTTTCATATTTGAATTAAACTTGGATTAAACTGCCATTTTGATTATTTTCCCAGCTGGGTGTGTTAGTGTGTATTTCTTGGGGAAAAAACGCCACTTCTTATTCATTTTAGTCAGTAATAGTCATTACAATTGTATCAGTATCAATCAAAATCTCTTGTTGAGGATGTCAAGTGTTAATTGAATTGAAATACTGCCTGCCAATTTTTGTTGAACTGTAACATAAGTTGACTTGTATATTGAATATGTTTCACAGGTAAACCAGTGGCTGTCACAAGTAACAGAGGATCGGGAAAGGCATTGCTTCGTCCTGGTGCAAACCCACAGCTGGAAAGACAATATTACCAGAATAAATTATTGAATGGCAAAGCAGGTATAAATCTGCCATTTCTTGAAACTGTAAAACCAAACGTCATTACAGCACAATCACTTATAACACTACTGTTAATTTTTGTAGTTCTATAGTGATAATTTCAAAAGAAATATTCCGTATTCAACAACATAATATTTACACTTTTGGTTCTTTTTGGGCCGAAAAAGAGTGCAGCTATTCCGCAGTGCAAGAAATTCCTTTTGTTACGGCAACTCACTCTCGCACTTGCCTGCCTTCCTGCTTCCTTCCAACTACAGTGCTTCACTTAGCTGAGTCCAAAAGCACTGACAGTGAGACAGCAGTGGCTTTCTTCAACCCAGCTAAGTGAAGTGCTGTAGCTGAAAGGGGGCAGAGGAGCAAGTGAAGCTTCACTTGTCCAGGCGCTTGCTCCCCTGTCAGCTATGATGTTTCACTTGACTGAGTTCGAAAACACTGGGTTGAAGAGAACCAGTGTTGTCACTCTCTTCAACCCAGTGTTTTCAGACTCCTCTGAGCCATAGCTGGGAGGGTGGGCATAGCTATTATTTGTATAATGCAGCAAGACACATGGAGAGAGAAGCCTAACTAGATTATTGCAGTCATCTGCCAACAAGTATTTCAAAGTGATTGATCACTGCTGTGAGTATTATATGTTGAAAGCAAAAATACTGATTTGGGGGGCCAAAAAAGAGGGTGCAACTATTATGTGGTGGCGTACAGTATTTATTACCTGTGTGCATTATATCACCTCACATCTACTTTTAATACTGTTTATATTTAATTCTGTTTTAATGTTTGCATATTTGTTTATTTTAAATGGTATGCTAATGCTTTTATGTTAAGCCACTTTGAATCTCCTTTGGGAGAGATAAAGTGGGATATAAATATAAATATAATAATAATAATAATAATAATAATAGCAGCTGTATATGAATAGGATTTCCACTTAGGAGCAATATGGTGACTATATGAGCAATTTAAATATATGGAAGATCTTTATTTGATTTTTACATGTGTCCTGTATGTCAACTTGTTTTGGTAACATGGTCACTCTCCAAACAATCAGTCTGTATCATGATAGAAATCTGACTGGTGCTCCTTTGGCATAAAATTGCTTTCTTGTGGTGTAGTTGTCTATGTCTGTGTGAATGAAGTGCCACAAAAACTCATTGAAGATTTTAAAATAGAAGATAATGCAAGAAGGGGAGTAACATGGTAGAGTCGTATACAAGTATAAACCACATCAAGCAGTGATAGTGAGATTTTTTTTCTGATGACGAGGTAGTAACTAAAAAAATCTAGACAATTTATCAATTTTGATAACATCTTTGTTGACATTGTTCCTAGACAACCACTAGTTTAAACAAATTCAACAGAGAACTCGACAGATTCCTAGGCGATATGTCTGTCAGTAGTTATTAGCCAGAACAGGTACAGTGTTCAAAGACACTAGGCCTCTGAATACCAGTCATGAGGAACTAGTCATTGGGACCAGTCTTTGGCATCATACTCTACAAATTTGTTCAAGAAATCTGGCTGGTCATCTCTTGATACCGGAAAACTCAATTAAATAGACTATTGGTCAGATCTAAATAGCTATTCTAGTGTTCTTAAACCTTGGAGTCTAGTACTTTTTTTGGCAGGCGATACTAGATTGTACAGCGTATGCTATCAATAAAACAACATATATATAAACCCATTTTCATACTTCCAACAGACCTCACTACCTCTGAGGATGCTTGCCATAGATGCAGGCGAAACGTCAGGAGAAAATGCCTCTAGAACATGGCCATATAGCCCAGAAAAACCTACAACAACCCAATAAAACAACACATATATGTAGCTTTTCATGTGTATATTTGTTCCCTGTATGAATCTTTTAAAAGAACCAAGACATCCCTTTGTTATTGTCCCATTAAACCATTAATACCTATAAACAATATCAGCCAGGATAGGTCAAATTAGCATTATTTCTGAATTAAACCATATATACTGTTTGTTGAATAGATTTTTTCACAAACAAGGCAAAGGCTTAAGGATATAAAAGATGTTCTCATTTCTTATTTTCAATGAGACTAAAGGAACAATCCGATATACACAAGTTATTCAGGGGAGGATCTTCGGAATTGTAAAACATTATGTCAGATGCAGGCAAAACGTCAGGAGGGAGTGCTTCTAGAACATGGCCATATAGCCCAAAAAACCTACAACAACCCATTATGTCAGTTGCTCTCAAATCCTCCTCTCCTCAGTTTTGTTATACAGCATTGCTGTTCTCATTTCTTATTCTGTGCATCTTTTCAGAAGATTTTTTAAAAATAATTTTTATTAAATACATTTTCTCTTTTGTTTATACATAAAACCAGAGGGGAGGGTTTGGGGTGCTGTTTGGCCAAGTCTATACAAAGAATTCCAAACAGGGATGGGGGAGGGGGGGTGCAGGATCTACAAGGATGGGGGTGGTGAGAGTAGGGTGGGGAGAGGGGGGTTTCAGCTTCCAATCTTCTTCTCCATTTTTCCTCTATTCTTCTGTTTAATTATGCTTGTAGAAAAATCTTCGCTCCACTTCTATTGTGCTTTTTAATATAACTTTTTTTTTCTTCAAATTCCTGTCTCATCTATATTGCTTTCCTATATCCTACTATTCCTTTTCTTTTCACCAGTTTTTCAGTTTGTTTTCTTCGGCGATGAAGTCATCCACCAATTTCCAATTTGTCTTGATAATAGGTCTGCCATAAGATTCTTTAAGGGCAAACGTTAATTTATCCGCGCCCTTAATTTCTTGAATTTTGTTTAGCCATTCTTCTTTCGTTGGAAGTTCGCTTTGTTTCCATTTTTTTGCTATTACCATTCTCGCTGCAGTAGAGAGATATGTAAATAGGATGTCATTGTTTCTATCTTTTTCTATTTCTTCATCCGTTAAACCTAGCAGGAAGAATTCTGGCTTTAATTGGATCTTTATTTTGAATATCTTTTCACATGTCTCCTGCACCATCTTCCAGAAGGTCTTCACCATGGGACAAGTCCACCAAGCGTGGAAGAATGTTCCAACCTGCGTGTCGCATTTCCAGCACTTATTCCGGGAGTTCTTGTACATTATACTAAGTTTTTGAGGTGTCATATACCACCTATATATCATTTTAATCTGATTCTCCTTTAGATCGGTCGAGTATGTGTACTTGATCTTCTTAGTCCATAGTTTTTCCCATTCCTTGAGTTTTATTTCTCTTCCGATGTTTGAGGCCCATTTTATCATACTTTCCTTAATTAGCTCAGTCTCTGTTGCCCAGTCTAGTAGCTTGCCATAGATCCTCATTATTATTTTTTCTTTCAATAAGATCTTATCTTGGAACTCATCTTTTTCGATGAAGCCTACTTCTCTATCCTTCTTAAAGTGTTCCTTAAGTTGAATATATTGAAACCATGAAACGGTGTTAAATTTTTGTGTAATTTCTTCTTTTGTTTTTAATTGTAACGTGCCCTCTTTTTTTATTAGTACATCTTTATAAGTGGGCCACTTTGACCACCCTAGTAGTCTTCTCTGCCCGGCTTCCAGAGGGAAACCCACAGAGGTGTCTTTGTGTATAGTTTGGCTTTGTATCTGGTCCAGATTTTCATTAGTGCCGATCTGATGAAGTGATTGTTGAAGTTCTTTTCCTTCTTGACTTGGTCGTACCAAAGATACGAATGCCAACCTGTTCTCAGATTGAACCCCTCTAATTCCAGTGTTCTTTCTTTCCTAAGTAAAATCCAATCTTTTATCCATCTTAGCCCGCAAGCGTCATAATAGAGTTTGAAATCTGGTAGACCTAGCCCTCCTCTGTCTTTCTTGTCCGTCAGATGTCTGAACTTTATTCTCGGTTTTTTCTTTTTCCATATGAATTTTAGTATCTCTTTATTCCATTCATTAAATAGTCTGTTGTTTCTTAATATTGGAATATTTTGGAAGAGATAAAGCAACTTTGGCAGGGTGTTCATCTTTATCGTAGCAATTCTTCCTAATAGGGATAGTGCTAGGTTGTTCCAGTTTTTTAGGTCTTTTTTTATCTCTGTCCACTTAGCCTCATAGTTGTTCTTCATTAGTTGAGAATTCCTCGCTGTTAGTTGTATTCCCAGGTATTTTATTTTCGTGGATATTTGTATTCCAGTGCTTTCTTTTAGCTTTTCTTGATTTTTCTTGGATATATTCTTTGTCAGGATCATTGTCCTTTTCTTGTTCATCTTAAATCCTGCAAGTTTCCAAATTCTTCTATTTTCTTCAGAAGATTTGAAGTCATTTTTCCAAATGATTTTCCAAAGCATCTTTTTAGAGTCTTATTGGAGCTGATAAGTTGAACAAAATACTTTCACATAATGGCTCTGTGTGAGAGAAACTAATATTATTTTTGTAATCTAAATATAGTTGATACTCTGTATGTTGCAGAAATGGGGAATCTGTGACCCTCCAGATGTTGTTGGGATGGAACTCCCAGTAGCCATAGCAATGATGATAGGGCTTGCAGTTCATCAACTAAAGTTCAATAACATCCACATGTTCCCCATCCTAGAAATATTTGGTAGCAGAGTGTGCATGCTACAACATTGTCATAATATACGTCGTCGTGAAAAGAGAATATGCTTTTAATAATTCAGCTCTTCTGCACAGCTAGCATTTGTTTTCATTCTTTACATGTCTGATCTCTGGACAGTGTTTCTATTCAGCCTGGAAATAAAAGCAGGAGTTACATTATCTTTAAAATTCTGTTATTTCTCATTTCTGTCTTTCACCCACTTCTGGTCTGAGGACTAGTTGTGAACTTCAAAGGCTTGTAGAGTCCTGCTCTTTTTTCTCTTTAAACTGACACGTTTCCATCTGTCCCAGCGGAGCTACAGTACAATTGTGCCTTTCTCGTATTTGAAAGTTTTTCCTTTGGGGATTGAATAAAGTAATTTGCAAGTTTGTAGCTGCTGCTTAATCAGCTTGACCCCTTCACCTCACTTCTGCTGTCTGCCTGCCTGCCTGCCTGCCCTTATAGTTCCTG